CTAACTAACTAACTAACTACTAACTAACTAACTACTAACTAACTAACTAACTAACTAACTAAACTAACTAACTAACTAACTAACTAACTAACTAACTACTAACTAAACTAACTAACTAACTAACTAACTAACTAACTAACTAACTAACTAACTAACTACTAACTAACTAACTAACTAACTAAACTAACTACTAACTAACTAACTAACTAACTAACGAACTACTAACTAACTAACTAACTAACTAACTACTAACTAACAACTAACTAACTAACTAACTAACTAACTAACTACCTATACTAACTAACTAACTAACTAACTACTAACTAACTACTAACTATACGTACTAACTAACTAACATAACCTAACTAACTACTAACTAACTAACTAACTAACTAACCTAACTAACTAACTAACTAACTAACTAACTACTAACTAATACGAACTAACTAACTACTACTAACTAACTAACTAACTAACTAACTAACTAACTAACTAACTAACTAACTAACTAACTAACTACTAACTAACTAACTAACTAACTAACTAACTAACTAACTAACTAACTACTACTAACTAACTAACTAACTAACTACCTAACTAACTAACTAACTAACTAACTAACTAACTAACTAACTAACTAACTAACTAACTAACTAACTAACTAACTAACTACTACTAACTAACTAAACTAACTACTAACTAACTAACTAACTAACTAACTAACTAACTAACTAACTAACCTAACTAACTAAACTACTAACTAACTAACTAACTAACTAACTAACTAACTAACTAACTAACTACTAACTACTAACTACTAACTAACTAACTAACTAACTAACTAACTAACTACTAACTAACTAACTAACTAACTAACTAACTAACTAACTAACTACTAACTAACTAACTAACTAACTACTAACTAACTAACTAACTAACTACTAACTAAACTAACTAACTAACTAACTACTACTAACTAACTAACTAACTAACTAACTAACTAACTAACTAACTAACTAACTAACTAACTAACTACTAACTAACTAACTAACTAACTAACTAACTAACTAACTAACTAACTAACTAACTACTACTAACTAACTAACTAACTAACTACTAACTAACTAACTAACTAACTAACTAACTAACTACTAACTAACTAACTAACTACTAACTAACTAACTAACTAACTAACTAACTAACGAACTAACTAACTAACTAACTAACTACTAACTAACTAACTAACTAACTAACTAACTAACTAACTAACTAACTACTAACTAACTAACTAACTAACTACTAACTAACTAACTAACTAACTAACTAACTAACTAACTAACTAACTAACTAACTAACTAACTAACTAACTAACTAACTAACTAACTAACTAACTAACTACTAACTAACTAACTAACTAACTAACTAACTAACTAACTAACTAACTAACTAACTAACTAACTAACTAACTAACTAACTAACTAACTAACTAACTAACTAACTAACTACTAACTAACTAACTAACTAACTAACTACTAACTAACTAACTAACACTAACTACTAACTAACTAACTAACTAACTAACTAACTAACTAACTACTAACTAACTAACTACTACTAACTAACTAACTAACTAACTAACTAACTACTAACAACTAACTAACTAACTAACTAACTCTACTACTAACTAACTAACTAACCTACTAACTAACTAACTAACTAACTAACTAACTAACTAAACTACTAACTAACTAACTACTACTAACTAACTAACTACTAACTAACTAACTAACTAACTAACTAACTTAACTAACTACTAACTAACTAACTAACTAACTAACTAACTAACTAACTAACTAACTAACTAACTAACTAACTAACTAACACTAACTAACTAACTAACTAACTAACTAACTAACTACTACTAACTACTAACTAACTACTAACTAACTAACTAACTAACTAACTAACTAACTAACTAACTAACTAACTACTAACTAACTAACTAACTAACTACTACTAACTAACTAACTAACTACTAACTAACTAACTAACTAACTACTAACTAACTAACTAACTAACTAACTAACTAACTAACTAACTAACTAGACCAGAGAGTGGAAAGACAACGGGAATAATCGGGAATGATCGGAGAGGTTGCTTACCCATCAATAGAAAAACAAATATGACAGCATAGTCGGGCATGATTAAATTAGATTTTCTAAAAGCCTGTATATAAGGGGGTTAGGGTAAAATTTGAACCGATCCTACGAAAATTTGGTAAAAGGAATTCAGTTGACATAAAATTTAGTAACGCCGAATTGCATCCATATACAAGTATTTATAAGAGAATTAACGACGTTAAAGCCATTTTCAGAGGGGGACTTTGTAGGGGGCTAATCAGGGCTTATCATTATGAAAAATTGCAGTATCATTTATGATTATATAAAACGAATTTGTTTTTATGTTTTGTGGAGGTATTAGTATATTTGGCATTATAATTGGCTCCAAAGCCCAGTTCATGGGGGAGGGGGGGTGTGTGTTTCCAGTTGTATGGGGCCTAAGTCAAATAATGTACTACTATTAACCAAAATCAATAGAATTGATCCTTGACCAATTGTAGTTTGATTACAAGGTTTATGTGGACAGACAGACAGACGGCGGGACATGACTTAATTGATCAAGTCCTAAAGTGATTGGTATTGGTATATAAAACGAAGTTCTTTTTATTTTTGTGGAGATATTACGATATTGGGCATTATAATTGGCTCCAAAGTCCAGTTAATGGGGGGTGTGTTTCCAGTTGTATGGGGCCTAAGTCAAGTAATGTACTACTATTAACCAAAATCAATAGAATTGATCCTTGACCAATTGTAGTTTGATTACAAGGTTTATGTAATCAGACAGACGGTGGGACATGACTTAATTGATCACGTTTAAGCTGATTGGTATACTTTAAGGTGGCTATAGAATCATAAATTCTATGCATTATAATCATTATGACAACTCCAATATATCCTCCCCATTAAAGTGGTGCAAGGTACCAGTATGAACATATTGGTTCATTCATTAATAGCTACATAGATATTGGCCTTCTGCAGTTGTATAACTTGAATGGCGAAATCAAGAGGAGTTGTGAACATCGAATGGTTAAAAGAACAGCTACAATTTTATTGCTCGGACAACTCTCAAGAATCTCGAGTATGGAATCGCAAAGTGTGTATAGAAGATTTGACACTTGCTGGCTGAAAAATCTTATAAAATTGCTTCCTGGGTTTGAAACATTACATTTTTTTTTTCTAACAAGGAATTAAATAATATATTAAATCTACAACTAGTACGTGAACTATTTTTTCCAATTTATTACAATAACATTTTTTTTTAATTAATAACACATTACAAACATGATGATGATGGTACATGTTGTTGCTGAAAAAAAAATCTTGCGTGTAATTTAGAGATCAGGTGTAACATGCAATTGAAAATTGATAATTAATTCAAAGGAAAGTAGAAACGTGTATAATAATAAAAAGTAAACAAATTGTCAGTAATAGGGTTATAATTTTAAATTAATAATATTTATTTACATACATTTCAATTAGAAAATCTAAAAATATCTTTGGATTGAAAGGTTCGATCAGTTCAAATAAAACTTTGTAACAAAATTTTAAAAATAAACCAATTGCGTCTTTCTGAATAGACTCAATCTTCTTAAATCTTATCAATTAAACGATTTATTAATAAAAAATTAAAATATTGTCTTCATAAATCTAGAAATAATTATATAGTTTATGAGTATATTGTCTTCATAAATCTAGAAATAATTATATAGTTTATGAGTATCCATATACTTATCTTTTATTAATGCAAGTTAATTATACCCTACACCACTTTAGTGGGGAGGGTATATTGGATTTGTGCTGATGTTTGTAACATACAAAAATATTCGTCCTAGACCCACCTTAAAGTATACCAATCGGCTTAGAATCGTTTTCTGAGTCGATTAAGCGATGTCCGTCCGTCTGGCTGGCTGGCTGGCTGTCCATGTAAACCTTGTGCGCAAGGTACAGGTCGCAATTTTCAAGATAATTGGATGAAATTTGGCACGCACGTTTTATTTGACCCAAGGACGAAGCCTATTGAAAATGGTTGAAATCGGTCCATTATTTCACCTAGCCCCCATAGAACAGAACCCCCCGAAAAGGGCTTCTGAGCTCATAATTATGTTAAATATACAGATATATCGATAAAATACGGCACAACTAAGTTTTATAGAAGTCTTGGTGACCCTGCCAAATTTCATAAAGATCGGGCCCCACTTGACCCTAGCTCCCATACAAAGTCCTCTTCAGAAAATTACTTGAATGTCCCAAATTAACTTATAAACACAAATATCGCGATGAAATTCAGCACAATAAAATATTATATAAATATAAATATATTCACAAAATTTTATCGGGCTTGGTCCATATTTGCCCCTAGCCCCCATATAAAGCCTCTTTCAGAAAATTAGTTTTTCATCCATAAATTGCTTAAATGTATCGGAACAATGGAATATTGAAGATAAATGCTTTATTATGAACAATAAATCACATATAATATTCATAAATGGTGTAGGGTATCATATGGTCGGCCACGCCCGACTATACTTTCTTACTTGTTGTTGTTTAAACTTGTTTTATGGATGCACAAGTAACAGCTGGATTACAATTGGCGCCGCAAACACCGACGATTAAGAGCTTACAGATTGAAATAAAGTAATCACATTGAACCTAATAAATAAGTTCTTTTATTTTGCTTTCTTTTTTCCTATTTTAGAGATATAACGAAAATCTATTTAAAGTCAAAAACTTTGTTTTGTCGCTGGTGGTTTACATTGTAATTCAGCTTTTAAAATTGAAAAATAAATCTGCTTTAAAAATGCAGAAATATGTGTCTGTGTGTGTCGACATGCAGCTGTTTTTAACTGGGTAAGTAAAAAGACAAATTTACAACTCACTCACCTGGTTATTGAGGTCTATAAGTAACTTGTCTGGAATGTGGGCGTAAATAGTTGTACGAGAAAATAGTTGAACTTAGAAATTTTTTCTTTAACTCAACTACACAACGTCTTGAACACTTTATAAATTGACGTTATACATACTTAGAAAAGTTATAAAAATGTATATTTTTTTCATATACTATTTGTTCACATATTTTGTAGCTGGAGAAATCTTTTAAGACACGTTTATTTTATGATGTACACTATAATTTTCTGTAAATAATAAAAAATAAGAATAAATCAATTAAATTATTATGTAATCATATAACAGCAATTTGTAATTAGCTAATAATATAAAAATTTAAATAATAAAAAATTATTGTGCTTATAAAGAGGGTGTTAGAGTTTATAGGAACTTGTAATAATTAAAGATTTATTAAGAAGATATGTAAGGGGGAAGTAAATAGAATATTTAAATAAACAAATATTTATTAATTAAAAATGTAAATGATCAATTATAGTAATACTTATAAGTATTTTTTACTGAAGATTTTCTAAAATGTCGAAGATTTATTAAAGCCCAGTAAAACTTACGGAATATCTGACAAACGAACTATCATTCTGAGCTCACTTTCTGACATTAATGATCAGTAACTTTGACAATTCAACATGAATAAATAGATGTTTTAGAAATATTACTAAATTATCCACATTTACTAGACTATAGACTAGACTATAGACTAGACTATAGACTAGACTATAGACTAGACTATAGACTAGACTATAGACTAGACTATAGAATAGACTATAGACTAGACTATAGACTAGACTATAGACCAGACTATAGACTAGACTATAGACTAGACTATAGACTAGACTATAGACTAGATTATAGACTAGACTATAGACTAGACTATAGACTAGACTATAGACTAGACTATAGACTAGACTATAGACTAGACAATAGACTGGACTATAGACTAGACTATAGACTAGACTATAGACTAGACTATAGACTAGACTATAGACTAGACTATAGACTAGACTATAGACTAGACTATAGACTAGACTATAGACTAGACTATAGACTAGACTATAGACTAGACTATAGACTAGACTATAGACTAGACTATAGACTAGACTATAGACTAGACTATAGACTAGACTATAGACTAGACTATAGACTAGACTATAGACTAGACTATAGACTAGACTATAGACTAGACTATAGACTAGACTATAGACTAGACTATAGACTAGACTATAGACTAGACTATAGACTAGACTATAGACTAGACTATAGACTAGACTATAGACTAGACTATAGACTAGACTATAGACTAGACTATAGACTAGACTATAGACTAGACTATAGACTAGACTATAGACTAGACTATAGACTAGACTATACTAGACTATAGACTAGACTATAGACTAGACTATAGACTAGACTATAGACTAGACTATAGACTAGACTATAGACTAGACTATAGACTAGACTATACTAGACTATAGACTAGACTATAGACTAGACTATAGACTAGACTATAGACTAGACTATAGACTAGACTATAGACTAGACTATAGACTAGACTATAGACTAGACTATAGACTAGACTATAGACTAGACTATAGACTAGACTATAGACTAGACTATAGACTAGACTATAGACTAGACTATAGACTAGACTATAGACTAGACTATAGACTAGACTATAGACTAGACTATAGACTAGACTATAGACTAGACTATAGACTAGACTATAGACTAGACTATAGACTAGACTATAGACTAGACTATAGACTAGACTATAGACTAGACTATAGACTAGACTATAGACTAGACTATAGACTAGACTATAGACTAGACTATAGACTAGACTATAGACTAGACTATAGACTAGACTATAGACTAGACTATAGACTAGACTAGACTAGACTATAGACTAGACTATAAACTAGACTATAGACTAGACACTATAGACTAGACTATAGACTAGACTATAGACTAGACTATAGACGACTAGACTAGACTAAGACTAGACTATAGACTAGACTATAGACTAGACTATAGATGACTATAGACTAGACTATAGACTAGACTATAGACTAGACTATAGACTAGACTATATACTAGACTATAGACTAGACTATAGACTAGACGATAGACTAGACTATAGACTAGACTATGGACTAGACTATAGACTAGACTATAGACTAGACTATAGACTAGACTATAGACTAGACATAGACTAGACTATAGACTAGACTATAGACTAGACTATAGACTAGACTATAGACTAGACTATAGACTAGACTATACTAGACTATACTAGACTATAACTACTAGACTAGACTATAGACTAGACTATAGACTAGAACTATAGACTAGACTATAGACTATACTATAGACTAGACTATAGACAGACTATAGACTAGACTAGACTAGACTATAGACTAGACTATAGACTAGACTATAGACTAGACTATAGACTAGACTATAGACAGACTATAGACTAACTATAGACTAGACTATAGACTAGACTATAGACTAGACTATACTAGACTATAGACTAGACTATAGACTAGACTATAGACTAGACTATAGACTAGACTATAGACTAGACTATAGACTAGACTATAGACCTAGACTATAGACTAGACTGACTATAGACTAGACTAGAACTAGACTATAGACTTAGACTAGACTATGACTATAGACTAGACTATCGACTAGACTATAGACTAGACTATAGACTAGACTATAGACTAGACTAGATAGACTAGACTAGACTATAGACTAGACTATATACTAGACTATAGACTAGACTATAGACTAGAGTCTATAGACTAGACTATAGACTAGACTATAGACTAGACTATAGACTAGACTATAAACTAGACTAGAGACTAGACTATGACTAGACTAAGACTAACTATACTAGAAGACCTAGACTATAGACTAGACTAGAGACTAGACTATAGACTAGACTATAGACTAGACTATAGACTACTAGACTAGACTTAGACTAGACTATAGACTAGACTATAGACTAACTAGACTAGACTATAGACTAGAATATAGACTAGACTATAGACTAACTATAGACCTAGACTATAGACTAGACTATAGACTAGACTATAGACTAGACTATAGACTAGACTATAGACTAGACTAGACTATAGACTAGACTATAGACTAGACTATAGACTAAACTATAGACTAGACTATAGACTAACTATAGACTAGACTATAGACTAGACTATAGACTAGACTATAGACTAGACTATAGACTAGACTATAGACTAGACTATAGACTAGACTATAGACTAGACTATAGACTAGACTATAGACTAGACTATAGACTAGACTATAGACTAGACTATAGACTAGACTATAGACTAGACTATAGACTAGACTATAGACTAGACTATAGACTAGACTATAGACTAGACTATAGACTAGACTATAGACTAGACTAGACTATAGACTAGACTAGACTATAGACTAGACTAGACTATAGACTAGACTAGACTATAGACTAGACTAGACTATAGACTAGACTATAGACTAGACTATAGACTAGACTATAGACTAGACTATATACTAGACTATAGACTAGACTATAGACTAGACTATATACTAGACTATAGACTTGACTATAGACTAGACTATAGACTAGACTATAGACTAGACTATAGACTAGACTATAGACTAGACTATAGACTAGACTATAGACTAGACTATAGACTAGACTATAGACTAGACTATAGACTAGACTATAGACTAGACTATAGACTAGACTATAGACTAGACTATAGACTAGACTATAGACTAGACTAGACTATAGACTAGACTAGACTATAGACTAGACTAGACTAGACTATAGACTAGACTAGACTATAGACTAGACTAGACTATAGACTAGACTATAGACTAGACTATAGACTAGACTATAGACTAGACTATAGACTAGACTATAGACTACTATAGACTAGACTATAGACTAGACTATAGACTAGACTATAGACTAGACTATAGACTAGACTATAGACTAGACTATAGACTAGACTATAGACTAGACTATAGACTAGACTATAGACTAGACTATAGACTAGACTATAGACTAGACTATAGACTAGACTATAGACTAGACTATAGACTAGACTATAGACTAGACTATAGACTAGACTATACTAGACTATAGACTAGACTATAGACTAGACTATAGACTAGAATATAGACTAGACTATAGACTAGACTATAGACTAGACTATAGACTAGACTATAGACTAGACTATAGACTAGACTATAGACTAGACTATAGACTAGACTATAGACTAGACTATAGACTAGACTATAGACTAGACTATAGACTAGACTATAGACTATACTAGAGACTATACTATAGACTAGACTATAGACTAGACTATACTAGACTATAGACTAGACTATAGACTAGACTATATACTAGACTATAGACTTGACTATAGACTAGACTATAGACTAGACTATAGACTAGACTATAGACTAGACTATAGACTAGACTATAGACTAGACTATAGACTAGACTATAGACTAGACTATAGACTAGACTATAGACTAGACTATAGACTAGACTATAGACTAGACTATAGACTAGACTATAGACTAGACTATAGACTAGACTAGACTATAGACTAGACTAGACTATAGACTAGACTAGACTATAGACTAGACTAGACTATAGACTAGACTAGACTATAGACTAGACTAGACTATAGACTAGACTATAGACTAGACTATAGACTAGACTATAGACTAGACTATAGACTAGACTATAGACTAGACTATAGACTAGACTATAGACTAGACTATAGACTAGACTATACTAGACTATAGACTAGACTATAGACTAGACTATAGACTAGACTATAGACTAGACTATAGACTAGACTATAGACTAGACTATAGACTAGACTATAGACTAGACTATAGACTAGACTATAGACTAGACTATAGACTAGACTATAGACTAGACTATAGACTAGACTATAGACTAGACTATAGACTAGACTATAGACTAGACTATAGACTAGACTATAGACTAGACTATAGACTAGACTATAGACTAGACTATAGACTAGACTATAGACTAGACTATAGACTAGACTATAGACTAGACTATAGACTAGACTATAGACTAGACTATAGACTAGACTATAGACTAGACTATAGACTAGACTATAGACTAGACTATAGACTAGACTATAGACTAGACTATAGACTAGAC